AAAAAAAAAAAAAAAAAAAAAAAACACGGGACAGCTTAAGTGATTGCAGTTAGTAAATGAATGCAGTGACAGACACGATGAAAAGGAAGTTGACCACACTTCAACTTTGGTCACTGAGTTAGTTTCTAACCATACATATTTAGAACATGTCGGATGGCTCGGATGCAATCCAACCTATGGTAAGGTAGAGGATTGTAGATGCTCAATAATGGACTGTACTTCATTGAGTGTTGACATTTGATAAGAAACTCTTACGACAAGGACGGTTGTGCATGTTAGAAAGTGTACAGGGAGGAGGTACTGACGGAGGCCCATAGCTCGCAGTTTTCTTCATATCACGTAAGTCTTCTTATCGTGCAGACAATTGGGTACAACTCTATATGAAAGAGATTGTCGGTGGAGTATCGATGTCTATTGTGTTTGATAGAGATCTGTAGTTCACATTAGCGTTTCGACAGAGCTTTCAGAAGACATTAAGTACACAGTGTGAGTTCGGTAACGTTTTTCACATGCAAACATATGGTCAACCTAAACATCTAAAGTTGATTCAGACTACGAACAAGGTTGTACAAACAATCAGACCACGTATGCCTTTTGTCTAAAGTAGACAAAACAGCTGCATTGATGTATGACGTAAGAACTTAGACTTTGAGGTGTCCTACGGTTCGGACATAAAGGGAAGACAAGTTAGCACTTCATCAATCCATTTGAGATACTCGTTGGAGTAGACGCGAACAAATAACGTAAGTCGTACTTCATTCCATCCTGATAAACTTACTAATCGTCATTGGTCAAACTGAGTTGACTTGATTAGACTATTTTAGTCCCGAGGGATATTTTTAAAATGTTATCAATTTCCGAGATAATTGATGAGAGATTAAAAAAATAATATAAACAAAAGCTTGAGTAACATGAATGGATTAGGATTGACATTAGCAAAATTCCAAATTTTCTTGAATTATTAAAACCAATAATAAATGGAAAATTCCAAGAAATAGGAGAACCAATTGCCAAAAACAAAATTGGCTTCACATGGCTTAACCTTTGGCCTTTTTTTTTTTTTTTTTTTTTTTTTTAATAAATTTTTTCTAAAATATTATTTCTTTTTAAAAAAATTAAAATGGTGGTATTTGTGTCGTGCTTTCGAAGGGGAGATGTTAGATGAACACGACTCTCTAGGTATGATATTGTCCATTTTGTGTGATGTTCGACGTTGGTTGGAGAGGAGAACAAACCACCATTTATAACGGTGTGGAAACCTTCCCCTAGTAGACGCGTTTTAAAGCCTTGAGTGAAAGCTCGAAAGGGAAAGCCCAAAGACGACAATATCTGTCAGGCGGTGGATCTGGGCCGTTACAAATGGTATCAGAGCTAGACACCGGACGATGTGCCAATCTTTTTGCTGGAGGCTTGAGGGGAAGCCTGAAAAGGAAAGCGCAAAGAGAACAATATCTGCTAGCAGTGGATCTGGACCATTACAAATGGTATCAGAGCCAGACACCAAACGATGTATCAGCCTTCTCGCTGTTCCCCGAAGGGGGGTAGACACGAGGACATTGGGCCTCGAAAGGGGGTGGAGGGTGTGAAAATCTTCCCCTAGGAGACGCGTTTTAAAGCCTTGAGGGGAAGCCCGAAAGAGAACAATATCTGCTAGCGGTGGATCTAGGTCGTTACACTTTGAGTATAAGCTCTCATGGCTTTGCTTTGGGCTTCCCCAAAAGGTCTCGTACCAATGGAGATAGTATTTCTTGATTATAAACCCACGATTATTCCCTAAAGTAGCTGACACCTCCCCTCGAACAAAGTACACCTCTCCTTAATCGAGGCTCGACTCTTTTTCTTTTGGAGTCTTAGTCAGTTTTTACTATGCCTTCGAGGCTCACAATACTTTTGTTCGATATTTGAGAATTCTATTGACATGACTAAGTTTAGGGCATGACTCTGATACCATGTTAGGTTGAATGGCAGTATGACCTATATGGGTCACGACCTCATGTTTTTGTAGATATGTATAATGAGGATTACATTGTAACAAACAAGTAAATCAGTAAATTATCTTATTATGTACAGATATGATCTATTCTACGTTTAACAGAAAAGACTCGCAATATAGCTATCTGTTGCTTCCTCAAGCAGATCGCTACTGGGATCGTTTCGAATATGAGTCTTGTCTGTCGTTTCTCGCTCACGAGGTTTTTATTTCCGTTCTTTGTTTCGTTGGCCTTCACGAATCACTTTCTATCCGACCGTTTATTCGAAGTAGCCTTCTCGACTAAGATACCTTAAATGTTGCAGATGATGTTCGTAAACAATTAAGCTTCCAAATATAAAAGAAAATTTGAAAATAAGTTTAGAAAGTAAAATATAATATCTAATTCACTAAATAAAATATTTATTTTTATCATTTGACTTTTACTAAAAAATGGCAATATTAAGAAATAATATTATAAAAAAATGTGTAGTTGAATTTTGTATTTTCTTTTTAAAAAAATATGCAAATTAAAAAATACAACCTTTATACTTTTATTTAAAAAATACATTTGTATACTTTTTAATTACTTTAAAATTTTAATATATAAATTTAAAAGAAACATTAATATTCTCGGCATTTAAAAAAAATGGAGATAATTTATAAGATGTAGATCCATATGTTGCTGATAATGTTTTTATTTATAACTTTTAAGCGTGTTAATGCTATTTTTAAAATTTCATAGATAATTTTTTAATTACGAAGCTAATTGTAGGTGTATTTTTAACTTTTTAAAAAATGAAGATGAAAATATTTGCTAAAACCACCATCGCGTCTCATCTTGCCATCTCGATCTCCATCGACCTGACCCATATGTCTTGACGCCACCCTGAGTCTCGGGTATTGTCGGCCATTGCAACTCACTTAGTCATGCCATCGAGAACAGGCCCACGTGTCGCTCATTCCATCCGGATTCTATCGAGGCATTGACCCTCTAGTGCCCATGCCATGTCATTTACGGATACCATGTCGAATAACAGGTGTATGTAGCAATCTCTAACACGCGGGCTGGGGCGTAATACCGGCACACCTTTGCCACCTAGTACTGTCGTTGAAAAACCCATTTCAAAGGAAGTCTCCCAAGATACTCGTCTCGTCACGCTCGCCCATACTGTGACACACTAGCTCACTTAGCCCACAGGGCCTAGAGGTGTTGGAGAGCTAACACCATGTTAACCTAGTATATTTTGAGCCATTTTCAATCTTCCAAACATAACATAATTACTAAATTAAATAAATTACAAAAATAAAAGATAAAAAAAAATAAATACAAAATATATAGTAAATATCATATTAGATATTTTCGAGTAATAAAAGATCAAATATAATAATTAATTATGTTAGACGGATAAATATTTTCCAGTAATAAAAGATCAAATATGATAATTATGTTAGATGGTAAAAGTTTATGTAACGACCCAAATCCACCCCTAGCAGATATTGTCTTCTTTGGGGTTTCCCTGCCGGGATTCACCTCAAGGTTTTAAAACACGTAAGGATGATTTGTTCTCCTCCCCAACAAATGTGGGAGGTCACAATCCACCCCCTTCGGGGCCAGTGTCCTCGCTGGCGCTCGTTCTTTTTTCCAATCGATGTGGGACCACCACCAAATCCACCCCCTTTGGGGTTCAGCGTCCTTACTGGCACACCGCCTCGTGTCTACCCCTTCGGAGAATAGTGAGAAGGCTAACACATCGTCTGGTGTCTAGCTCTGATACCATTTGTAACGACCCAAATCCACTGAGTCTGGGTTGTCAAGTTTATCAGTATTTTTTTTATTTATTAATTTGAGGTTTTAAAATAAAATGTGTCTGAAAATTAACCGACCAAAATAGTTTTATTTATTTTTTATTTAAAAAAAACACAAATAATTTTTAATTAAAATTAAACAAGAGAACCGCCTCTTTCTCTCTCTATCTCTCCCTCTCTCTCTCTTCTGCCTAACATTTTAAATAGCAGAGAGAAAGCCCTGAAAGAAGGACATAAAAAGCTCAATAGGGCACACACCCATTACTCACCTCCCCTGCTTCTTCTTCTTCTTCTTCCTCTTCAACTTTCTCTCTCTTCAACTTTCTCTCTCTACTGTGTTAATCTTCATCCACAATCAGACCATAAACCAAAAACCCTCCAAACCCCACTTTCAATTTCGTCGCCCTCACACAATGAGCAAACAGGATTTCATGAACATTCAGGTAATTTTCCATGGAATCTTCCCCTGTTCTTCCCCTGTTCTTCCCCTGTTCTTCACCTTTAAATCTTTCTGGGTTTTGTTTACAGGCTTGTGCTCTTCGCGTTAACATTCACTGCGATGGATGCAAGCAAAAGGTCAAGAAAATCCTCCAGAAAATCGATGGTAAGGGGAATCTCTTGATTACCTCACCGATTTCGTTTCATTGACAGATTCTTGACTGGTTCTGTTTTTGGGGGTTTTTTTAGGTGTTTATACTGTGAAGATCGATGCAGAACAAGGGAAAGTGACAGTGACGGGAAATATAGATCCAGGGAAACTGATAAAGAAGCTTGAGAAATCTGGGAAACATGCTGAGTTATGGGGAGCTCAGATTAGTTCAAATAACATGAACAATTTCAATAATCTGTTTCAGAATGTGAAAGGAGGCAAAGACAACAATATGGATAATCATAAGTTGCTGATGGAGAAGGCTTTTCTTCAACAACAGCAACAAATGAAGGGCTCCAACAATGGTATGAACAAAGGAGGAGGTAATAATAATCATAATAATAATATGCATAGTGTTGTGGTTCCTGGTAAAGATAAGAAATCTGTTAAGTTCAATTTGCCTGAGGAAGATTCTGAGTTTAGTGATGAGTTTGATGATGAATTTGATGATGAATTTGATGATGAATTTGACGATGAACATGATGAGTTTAGCCATGAACATGGACATGGGTTACCTAATAATATGATGCCTATGATGGGTAGCAAAGGAGGAGGGTCTTTTGGGGCTAATGGGATGATTGATATCAATTCCATGAATGGTGGTAAGAAAGGTGGGGTTGGTGGAGGTGCTGTCAAGAAGGGTGAAGCTATTGACTTCCCTGTCATGATGAAGGGCAAGGGAGGAGGGAAGAAAGACGGTGGCCATGGCGATGGCGATGGGGGCGGCGGCGGTGGCGGTGGCGGCGGCGGCGGGGGGACGAAGAGTAAGAGCAAAGGAGGGGGGTTTCTAGGACTAGGCAAGAAGGGGCTGTTTGGATTTGGAGGTAAAAATGATAGCAAGAAGAACAAAGGAAGCAGCAAAGCAGCTGATGGAGGTAAACATAATGGCAATGGAGGCAAGAAAGGAGGCAAAGCTGATGCCCTCCATGAGTTTGACAAGCTAGATATTAACTTCCATGACATTGATATCACCAAACCCAGCAAAGGAGGCAAAGGGGGTAGCGGTGGGAATGGTAAGAACATGGCTCAAACCCATATGGGTCATGCCACCAATGGAAACAAAAGCCAGATGGGTCAGCCAATGGGTCCTGCTGGTGCCAATAGGGCTCCACCAATGGGAAACTATGCAATGAATCAAATGGGTAACATTCCAGCCGTTCGAGGTCTACCCGCTCATCCCGCTCAACCAATGATGAGCGGAGGGGGAGGCGGATACTACCAAGGAATGGGCCAAGGGAACCCGTATGCCCAACAACAACAACAACAATACATGGCTATGATGATGATGAACCAACAAAGGGGAGTTGGGAACGATATGTTCCAACCCATGATGTATTCACGACCGAACCCGGCCATGAACTATGCTCCACCGCCCCCGATGCTTCCTCCGGTTGCAACCGATCAGTACACGCACTTCTTCAGCGACGAGAATACAGATAGTTGCAGTGTTATGTAAATTTTGGCCCTAAAACATCCTTTTGCTTGGGTTATTTTATAGGATTAGTGTTTAGTTGAATGTAGAAATGGGTGTTGTGTTACTTTGATTCAATCAAAAACCCACTTAGTATTTTACTGTTTTCTTGTCATTATAATGAGTTTCAAGTTGCAGAGATAATAAAAACCAGACCCCTTAGGGCTCCACAGTACCTTATCATGTCAGGCTTTTGTCGGTTCAGCTGTGGCTGCCTCAACTCATCATTTTTTTTGCTTTATTTTACTTAAGTTTACGAGATAAGTTCGAGTTTTCGTGTGAACGTGATTCGTTCTCGATCCCTGTTTTGCATACCGACCTTTAGCCACCAATCCTCGGTGTCCTTATCATATGCGAACTTCTAATCCTTCGCCATTCGATATTATCACGGAGAGAGGTTCGGTATCCTTTCTCATCATATGGGCGAACTTCGATCTCATGTACATTCAACAAAACCACACCTGAAAAAGTTCGAAAAAAAATTGAGTATTAAAATACTCGGTAATTGATTCTTCTAATAAAGTCAGATATGTATACATGTAATATGCATCTACAACGTGGCTCTAAGGTTGTCCATTAGCAAATTTACTCAATTCGTGAGTAATCCATGACTCTGCAAGTTCTTGAAAATGTTTGTTTGGTGTTACGAGTTATTGTCAACACGATGGGTGATCTTAAAGTTGTTGGAGGAATCAAGAACCTCAGTAGTAACAAATACAACACGTGGGCAACATGCATGATGTCCTACCTACAAAGACAAGATCTCTGGGAGGTTATTGACGGAAGTAAAATTATGCCTTTAGAGGAGGATGCTAGTGGTGCCCTGTGCAGATGGAGAATTGAAGCAGGAAAAGCAATGTTTGTCTTGAAGACTACAATCAAAGAAGAGATGATTACTCAATACTTTCACAGGGTCAAGTCGATCTGTTGTGAGATTATCGAACTAGATTTGGAGTTCTTACAGGGTCAAGTCGACCAAAATATAGAAGTTTTGTTATTGTCATACAAGGATGACCCGCTCAATCATCACTTATAAAGTTCAAAAATTTGCTAGCTAGCCGAGAAGCTAAGGCTAAATGAATGGAGGGCATCACGCTATAAAGTGAAGAAGAAGAACTCTATACAAGTAAAAGTTGGAGCAACAATATGTCGGCCACCATAGGTAGATACAAAAATGTTGTCAAAGGAACAAGTCAGCAAGGAACTGTACAACCCTTGAGAGCTACGAAGAACGACAACACGAGACATTTGCTACAATTGCGGAAAGAAAGAACGGTTTATCTAAGAAAAAGTCCATAAAAAAAATGCAGTAACCTTAAAAAGCGAGATAGAGGATGAACAAGATGTAGAGGTACTGAATGCCTTAGAAGAAGACGAGCGAGCTTGACCTAAAATCAATGAACCTAGCTTGAAAAAAAGATTGAAAAGCTCATGGGTCACACCAAATAACTCACAACTACCACGAATCAAATTTGAGAATGATAATACCAAACAATCAACATTCCAACTTCAAACATTCATAGTTGGTATCTATTAGGTCTTCCCATGTCACATATCCGACTTAGTTGCTTGTTCTAATGATTACATGATTATCCAACGTGCCTCTTTTCGTGTCTCAACTTTCGAACCCGTCTCTGATTTATATTTAAAATCTCAAACATGTTACTTCTATGCATTAGTAGTTTGTCAGATTGTTCACATGTTGTTTCTTGATGTAAACAAATGTCTAAGAATCTGTACGTTCAACACAAAATTATCGAGTTGTTCCTATAATAACATTTGTTAGAGATCGACCCATCAATGATTATTTCGAGAGTTTTCAATATGTTCAAGCATTGCAAAACATGTTGCTTGAACGTTCTTATACGACTTTGCTCTATCTCCTTCTCAACATGCTTTCCACTATCATTCGACAAAGTCCCTACTATTGCGATGTCGAAGGAAACTAAGAATTGAGGATGAAATTGAAGATTATATATTATGTGGTCCATCCTTAATACAAACTCACCGTATAGGATACTCCCACTCAAATTTTCACATGAACGATTTGATTCAAATCATTTGTAACAGTAAGTGGGTCGTATTAATAGTCTTACTATAGACCCTTTAAGTTCTCTCAAATCTCTTAAAATTTTCTTTTCAGAAGCGTCCACAAGCTGATCTTATGTTCGAGCCATAACGAAGAAAACTGTAATTAGATTAAACTGTTGCAGATTTTAAATGATAACGTAAAAAAAGAAGACATCTTTCGAATCTCATTGAAGATTATATATCATGTGGTCTAGCTTTATATAAACTCACTGTTTAGAATAACCCCACTCAAATTTTCACATGAGCGATTTGATTCAAATCATTTGTATTAGTAAGTAGGTCGTATCAATAGTGTTACTTGGATAAGACACCCGATCTTATCCATATACTATAGACCCTTTCGGTCCTCTCCAATCTCTTGAAAGTTTTCTTTTCAGAAGCTCCCACAAGCTGATCTTATGTCTGAGCCATAACGAAGAAAACTTCTTCACCCGTGGCCAAAAAAAATAGAAGACGTTCGTCGTGAGAAGGGTATTTTAGTCCTATTTTGAGATTTTTTTTCCCAATTGCCCCACATATTTTAGTCATTATTGGCACATCCTTTTCATCACACTGTGGGGAAGTATGGTTGTAGTTCCAATGATGGCTTCAATTTCAATTTATTTATTTTTATGATCCCAAAAAAAAATTAAAGAAATTAAAGAAATTTGTTTATTTTATAAATAGTGCTGTTCATGATTGTGGGTAGTGTGGGCCTAACCCATGCAATTTTGGTGGGTGGCTTAATAATCATCAACTTTGAATTTGATATCAATTCTTTACAATAATGTGTATGGTGATATCAATATTCTATTCATATTATCATCTATCTACTTACATTTTAATTTGTTGATAAGATTACGATGTTGATGGATGAACTCGATTATCCGATCGTTTGGTAATTGTAATAGCTCAAGCCTATCGTTAACTGATATTATTCTCTCTGGGCTTTCTTGTTTTTAAAAGGCATCTGAGAGAGATTTCCACTCCCTCGTAAAAATGCTTTGTTCTCCTCTCCAACCGATGTGAAATCTCACACTAATGTTCTCATTTCTCGTTTTTTTTTTAATATTTGAATGTTGTGCAACAAATTCACGTTCACGTTTTTTTTTTGTTTGTTTGGGTTCAGTTGATTTTTTTTTTAAAATAAAAAATTTGATCGTTTGGTAGTTGTAACAGCTCAAGCCCACCGCTAACGGATATTATCTTCTTTTGGTTTTTTCTTTCGGGATTCCCCTTAATGTTTCTAAAACGCATTTGCTAGGGAGAGATTTCCACACCCTAGTAAAATTGCTTTGTTCTCCTCTCCAATCGATGTGAAATCTCACAGTAATGTTCTCATTTCTCGTTTTTTTTTTAAATATTTGAATACTGTGCAACAAATTTACGTTTTTTTGTTTGGGTTCGGTCGATTTTTTAAAAAATAAAAAATTTGAGTTGGTTCGTGAATTGGACACTTTTTTGGTCGAGGGGGTCGGGATGACTATATTTCTGGAAGCGAACTCCAGGCGAATATGAAGCGCATGGATACAAGTTATGCCTTGGAATGAACGTCAATTTCGAATTAGCTTTGTCTACGAACAAGGAAGCTATAAGTAATGCAACTATGAATCTCATGGAGAGTTCGATCCTGGTTCAGGATGAACGCTGACGACATGCTTAACACATGTAAGTCGGACGGGAAGTGGTGTTTCCAATAGTGGACGGGTGAGTAACGCGTAAGAACCTGCCCTTGGGAGGGGAACAACAACCGGAAACGGCTGCTAATACCCTGTATGAGTTTCGACCAATTTGAAAATAGGGTTACAATTCAACCCATCCTTAATATATTTGCAGATATGTTAGTGATGCATTATGACTTGTGAATATTTAATATTTGAATTTTATAAGATTTTATTCATTAATATAATATACACGGTGGATAAATAATTTTTTTAAATAATTAAAAAAATAGTCTTGACAACCTAACCCGAACCTAAAAGATTAGGTTGTGAACTCTAATCAGATTGCTCGAGTCATCAACCTAACTAACCTTTTCAACACAATCCAATCCAACCCTTTTCAATTGCTAATACCCTCTAGCTTAATTTCTTTATATTAGACCCTCGAAAGAAACGCGTGGAATATACACAAAATTATATATTTTATTTAAAAATAAAAAGAATATTAATAAATATAATTATGTGTTCATGATTGGAGTTAAAAGTTCTTAAAAATCAAATTAAAGTTCAATGAATGTAATTATGTTTGACAAAGACAAAACAAAGTGGAGACTAACTTTATTGATGGTTGAAAACTTGATTGAAGAAGCCTTTTCAAGTCCACAAATTTAGTGATTCAAATTGTTTCTAGAATTTATAACTTATATTTATGAATTAATTGATTGGAGTGGAGATTTAATCTCGTATATGTCGGGTAATTAGTTTGTAAATGTGAGATCTCACATAGATGAGAATGAGTAACAGCGAGGACGTCGGACTTGAGAGTGAATTGTGAGATCCCACATTGGTGGGAGAGGAGAACGAAACATCACGACCAAACGTAATTTTGTTGACGGTTAACTATTGACTATTGATTGAGACGCTCACAAAAGTCAAGATGATTGCACGAGCCAAGTTGTATTCATGATGGAGGTGAGTGTTGCATGACTGAGTCGAGCTGCAGAGTTATTAGATTGATCTCGTGCTGGATTGTGCCTTGTGTTGGGTTGGGCATGAAGTTAGGGTTGAGTTTCTCGGTTATGGATTTGAATTTGACCCAACCCGAGCCAATGGATCCTTCTTATTCGCCTGACTTTGCTACTTTTCGTAGTGATGTTAGGATCGCTTAACAACGCACACACTCGATCTAGATGAGCACAAAGAACGTGATAGAGAAAATGTAAGGAGAATACTGGCTAAATGTTTATATTGATGACTTCAGACATGTACAATAGAAGAGATTACATAAAGTACATTTTCAAAGCTCTGCTTGGGAGGATATATATAGTTCAGCTTACTATATATAGCTTTACCAGACATAACTATCTACCATATATATAACTATCTATCATATATAACTTTACCGGGGAAAGCTTTTAACTCTACATAACTATTTACTATTTATGACAATTTACTGTCATTTACCATATATAACTTTACTATTTATAATTATTGACTAAGCTATGAACCATCGGACTCCATAACCTAACAATTTTCCCATTTGGAGACTGACACAGTCAACCAAGAATTTCATTCTCAAACCATCATGAGCATTTTCACTACACTGTACCAATTGAGGCTTTGCACAATCTCAATATTCCAACATCAACACATTTTGTCAACATGTTTGCTAGATTCTTTACACCTCTATCTTCTCCAAACACATCACCATCTTCCACTAACCTGCGAGTGAAATGGTATCGCCTTCTGTGTTTTGTCTTTAAATGATAAACCGGGTTCTTCACCAATTGTATAACACTCTAACTATCTCTATAAAGAATCTTTTCGTGCTACTTCTTGCCCAATTCTTCCAAATAGTCAGTCATCCACATCGTTTTTTTTTTCAGCTTCACTTATTGCCACATACTTAGCCTCAGTACAACGCATTTTTGAAGCCTAGACATCCCATCATCCATGGATTGCTCCCACTTGATTGTATCCTTCAACTGTAGGGTCTCATCAAAGGGCTCTGGTTCTCTTTCATCAACAATAGATAGTGTAATGAAGGTACATACATATCTGGTACTCTAATAGTACTGGATGATCTTCTCAACACCGGTTGAGGTGTACTTTCTCTACCATTGGTTCCTCTACAACAGTCTCAGGAGTTTCTTGAGTATTACCTACAACATCACTAGGTGATTTTTTTCGTAACTTAACCTTAACTCCCACTTGCTTCATTGTCTTAGAACCTTCTCCACATCTGGTTCCTCAGTAGTAGTCTCAAGAGTTTCATGAATATCTGCTACAACATGAGTTTTCTTGCAACTCAAGCTTAACTCCCATTTGCTTTGTAGTCTCAGAGTTTATCTTCTCTTTGTCCTTGTACAAGACATTTTCATCAAAGGTCACAACACAGTGTCTCAGGACTTTTCTATTCTTGTTATCCCAAAACTTGTACTCGAACGTGTTAGAACCATAGCCTATGAAGTAGCACTTCACGACCTCAACGTCAAGCTTGTCACTCTTCTCTAGATCAACACGAACATACGCAGTACAACCGAAATTTCTCAAGTGAGAGTAATTGAGTTCTTTTCCTGTCCATACTTTGTCTGGCCACTTGAACTCAAAGGGTACTGACGGCCCTTTATTGATCAAGTAGATTGCTGTATTTACAGCATCAACCAAGAATGTCTCTGGAAATCTAGAATGAATCCTCATACTCTTTGCCCACTCATTCAATGTTCTGTTCATTCTTTTAGCAACACCATTTTGTCTTGCTTTAGCGGGAACTATCTTTGTTAATCTAATTCCCTCAGCTGCACAAAACATTTTAAGTTCTAACTTGTCGTACTCCCCTCCATTGTCAGACCTCAGGCATTTGATCTTCAAGCCGGTTTGATTTTCAATTTCAGCTTCCCACTTCTTGAAGGTGGCAAACACATCTGACTTGTGTTTCAGGAAATAAATCTACACATTCTTGCTGAAATCATCGATGAAGGTGACGTAGAACTTTGATCCTCCAAGTAATGAAACTGGAGATGGTCCCCAAATATCTGTATGGACCATTTCCAACCGCACTTTCTTCAATTCACGGGTAGTTTTTGTGAAGCTAACTCGTTTTTGTCTACTCATAATGCAGTTCTGTCAAGGACCCATATCAACAGATTTCAGACCTTCTAAAACTCCTTTCGCAGCCAGCATCTTCATTACTTTCATGCTCATATGTCCAAGTCTATTGTGCCATAGACCTGAATTTGAAGCACTCTCAGCAATAATAGCTATGTTCATACACCCTACAGTGGTGTATAAGGTTCCAGATTTTGTGTCACATGCTACCACCATAGCACCCTTCATAATCTTTCCCATTTTTCTTTAATCTCCAAATCTTTGTTGTCGGCAAGATATACCTTCTCGAAATTTTCAGACTTGAAATTTCAGAACAACTCTTTATTTGGAGACGAATGAAAAGATGCACCTGAATCCAAAATCCAGGATTCAATTGGACTATCCACGCTGGGGACTAGAGCATCTCCAATATCTTCTACTGAATTTATAGAATCATCATCTCCAGATTTGTGATTCTGCTTTCTCTTTGGTCTTGTACAATTTGTCCAAAAGTGATATTTTTCTTCACAACAACACGTTACTTTTGGTCTATTTGAAGATTTTTTTCTGTTCTTTGATTTTGATCGCCCTTTGTTTGGGTCCTTCGATTTACTTCTTCCCCGTTGGTCAACACTGAGAGCATTACTAGATGAATTCCCAATTTCTCGTTTGTGAATACTTTCGCTCAGAACTACATCTCAAATTTCATCAAACTTTAGTTTATCAAATCCTAAGAAACTACTGATTGTGGCAACAACAGTATCCCACTACTCGGGTAAAGTTGACATCAAAATCAATACTTTAATTTCATCCTCGAAATTAATTTCCACCGAACACAGTTGACTTACGATCATATTGAATTCATTTATATGATCAACAACAGATCCACCTTCAGACACATGTAGACTGAACAATCTTCACATCAAATACACCTTATTCATAGCCAACGATTTTTCGTACATATTTGACAACGCCTTCAACAAATTTGACGTTGTGTTCTCCTTGATGATGTTGAACACCACATTTTTGGATAGCATTAACTGAATCAGCCCTAAGGCTTGTCGATCCTTGAGCTTCCACTGCTCCGTGGTCATGATATTCGGCATCACCCCCAACAGGGGTTCGTGAAGACCTTTATGATACAAATAATCTTCAATGTGCATTTCCCAGAAACCGAAATCGAATCCATTGAACTTCGCAATTCCAATCTTTGAACTTTTCATCTTCAAAGATCATGGTGAATTTTGCCTAGCTCTGATACCAGTTGTTAGGATCGCTTAACAACGCACACACTCGATCCAGATGAGCACAAAGAACAAGATAGAAAAAATGCAAAGAGAATATTGACTAAAAGTTTATATTGATGACTTCAACAGTAGGGAGAGAACAGAGAAAGTACATCTCTAGAGGTATATATATATATATATAGTTCAGCTTACTATATATAGATTTACCAGATATAATTGTGTACCATGTATAGTGGTACGGGATATAGCTTTTTATTATACATGGCTTTACTATTTATGACAATTTACTTTACATGTCATTTATCATATATAGTTTTACTATTACCGTTGACTAAGTTATAAATAAGCATCAGGCTCTAGAACCTAACAAGTGACACTATGACAACTCTCTAGCGACACTACTTATAAAGTATTGTTGCTTTAGGGCGTTAAACGACAAATTTTTATCACAAACTTGCAAAACAATCCTTTTTTCTTTAACATTTCAAAATAACACTTCTTAAATTTAATGAGTTTGTATGCAGACCCAAAATAATGTTTTTAGATAAGAATTGAGTGATGAGTGTTAGGATCGCACAATAATGCACACATTCGATCTAGATGAACACAAAGAACCGTAAGAGAAAATGAAAGGAGAAAATGCAAGGAGATATATATATTGTTCAACTTACTATATATAACTTTACCAGATATAACCATCTACTATATATATGTCACGGCCCTAAATTTCCACATACTCAGAGTCGCTACTAACGTCTCATGCTCATCTATAATGTGGAAATATAATTCTTACATGAACATAATTTATAACGTAAACTTCAAAAAACGTTTAAAACAACTTCTTCTCTGGAAAACACAGTCATGGTCTTACGTGTTTAAATACAAAATACTAAAATTTAGAGAAAATAAAAACAAATACAAAATAATTTAAAACAATGGAATGCAAAACAACATGTTCTAACTTATTACTAAGAATTTAAATACGAGTCTACCTTATGCACGTGCCACAGTCTCTGCTCGCGATGTCGCCGTCCTCCGTACAAGTGCGTCTTGCCTTTACTTGAAAAAAATGATGTGGCACACGGCCTGAGTATTTCAAAGAATACTCAGTAAGTGGCCCCACTATAGGGGCCATGCAAATGCAAACACATGCAATCATGATTTAGGGACCTATCTCTAATCATCTTAGGGGTGGCCTCTAGTCTCGGACAAATTGGATGTGTAGTACTTCCCTACACACGACTCACACGTGCGAGTGTGAATCCCCAGGGCGCTCGCACACCCCCTGGACCCTCTGGTAAAGCTAATCTGTAGCGACGTCCGGAGGTCAGCGGAACCCCATAGTGTCATGCGCCTCATGAACACCCTCACCTGTGTGCATTCGCACCTGTGCGCATTCGCGCTCATCATATGGTGCACGTCCGCACTCATCATCTCTAGGGGAAGTAGCCCTATGCTTATGAACATACAATATGCATGAGGTCCCTCTAAATCCATCATAATGTCTCTTCTGACACAACCTTCTAGTCTCATCTCTTTGTTACTCTAGGTAACACATACTCGTGGATATCTATATTAATATCATTTTCACGCTCTTAGGGTTGTGTTCTATGTCGATCTAACGACATGATGCAATATGGCACTCATCATCATATAGCATGCTCAATATGGAAAACATCCTCATATTATGGTAAACGTCACGCAATCATCATACTCATCATATTGCCACAAAGTGCATCAAACATATCAAGTACGACATTCATCAAAATATATATATACTGAGCACATCATCAAGTATTGTAACCCACACATCATCATAAGTCATACATCATCATAACTCATATACCGCATCGTACGACATAGTTCATACATCATCGTAACTCATACAATTTTTAGCCTATCCTATAGTAAGGCCACTTATCTGATTAGCTTATACAGGTGTTACCAATTTATCCTTAATGAAAGTTCGATTTTTCCCTCTGTATTCAAGCCAACCTATAAGAATCCGTGACATCAATTTCATGTTCAATTCTCTAACTCTTACAATGGTTCATGTGCTAAACTTCATGCGAGCATTAAAGACTTTGCATGGACAAAGTCTTGGAACGTTATAATATACATCATTACATCTAAATATATATACATATTATATATATATTCTATTTATATTAAGATTTCATTTTCTATTTTTATTTCGAGTGACTACTTTCTTGTCTTCTGATATTATTTGTGTACTCTGCTTTTTCTCCCAATTTTTGTTCAAGACATATTGTTGACCAATTTTTAATTCATTCTTACCTAATCATATTATTGGTCAATTTCTATAGATTCTTACTCTCTAACTCTTCCCTTTTATTTTTCTCTTCCTTCTCTCTGTATTTCCTTTCTCTTTCTTTCCTCCTCTTTATTTATTTATTTATTTCTTCTTTTATGTATTTCACCTACCATCTATATATATATATTTTGTTAATAGTATTTGGCTTCTCTCTAGTCTTCTCTATTTTTTTTGGTATTCTAATTAATTCTTCCTTCCAAATCTTTCCTTTCTCCTTTCCATCTTTCATCTCTTATTTACCTGTTAATTTTTTACAGATAAATTTTCTTTCGGAAGCCTTCCTTCCTTATTTACCAATTATTCTCTTTTCCTCTCTGTTCTGTATTTACCTCATATCTTCCCTTTTTCTATCTATTATGTTTTTTTTTATTCTATTGACAAATATTTGCCTAATTTATTATGGTTATTTTCTATAACCTAACATCATAACCAACCATCTAAATAACTGGGCAAGCAAACAAGAGATCTAATTCTGAATAATTAGACAAAGAAAAAGAAAATCTGATTCTTATTGATTTAAGATAAATAAAAATGAGATGTGAAATATGAGTTACCGTAATAACAAACCAAGATCCATCTCTCCAAAAATTAAATCTCCAACTCTCTTTGTAAATTTGTTTGTTGGTATTTTTTTCTTTCTTTTTTTGGTTGTAGGAACCACTGAATACATCTTGTATTCTCGATTTGTGAGTTTGTTGAGGAGAGATTGTATTCTTGATTTGTGAGTTAGTTGAGGAGAGATAGTAGATGCATCTGTATTGAGATTTTGACTGATGAGGTGGTTGAAGAGAGATAGTTTGGGAGAGGAAGAGGGGGTGAGGGGAGAGTAGTTGAGGGAAAATTATTATTTTAATTATTTAATTATTTACTTATTATTATTATTATTCTTTTTGTTGGGTCGTTACATTATCTACCTCTAAAAAGAACTTTCGTCCTCGAAAATTTGGTGACACTACCTGTATGGAGAGAAAGTTCAAATTTCAACCGACCACAAGATTTTAAATATTTCATCACCCAGAAAGAGTTACATATGAGATAGAGAAGGTGATTAGAATTGGTGAAGGACTACGATGTAGACATCCAGTACCACCTTGGAAAAGCAAATGTGGTCGCAGACGCTTTGAGTGGAAAGGCGGCCCACTCTTCGGCCCTCATTACGAGGAAAGTAAGGGTACAAAGAAAATTCGAGGGAGCCAACATAGTTGTAGCAACTGAGAGAGTCATAGCACAACTGGCTCGACTTACAGTGCAACCTACACTTAGGCAAAGAATGGTTATCTCCCAACGAGAGGATCCAAACCTATAGAAAGTCCTAAGCCAGCTAGCTGAGAGTCTAGTAAATGGATCCTCGAAGACCTCAGATGAAGGGCTATTGTATCAGGGACGCTTATATGTCTCAACAATAGAGGAGCTAAGGAAAGAAATACTGACGAAGCTCACAACTCGTCATTTGCCATGCACCTAGGAGGTACTAAGATGTACCAAGATTTAAAACAACACTTCTGGTAGAAGAGCATGAAGAGGGACGTGGCCGAGTTTGTGAGCAAGTGCTTAGTTTGTCAACAAGTGAAACCTTCTAGATAAAAAGCGGCGGGGTTGATGCAGCCCTTAAGCATACTAGAGTGGAAGTGGGAAGACATAGCAATGGACTTCATAGTAGGATTACCCAAAACGCTTAAAGGCTATACAATGATCGGGTAGTTGTCGATAGGTTGACCAAGTCAGCACACTTCCTACCTAGGAACGCTACATATACAGTTGACAATTGGGCATAGTTGTATGTGAAAGAAATAGTAAGAATACATGGAGTCCTACTATCTATAGTGTCAGATCGGGACCCACGCTTTACGTCAGCGTTCTAGCTCGGACTTCAAAAAGCGTTGGGTACCCGCCTCGACTTTAGTAACGTTTTCCACCCCCAAACAGATTGACATACGGAGCGTTTAAACCAACTTCTAGAGGACATGTTACGCGCTTGTGTACTAGATTTTAAGGGAAGTTGGGATTCTAAACTCCAACTCATGGAATTCTCGTATAATAACAGCTTCCAAACAACTAATGGAATGGCACCGTTTGAGGCCTTGTACGGTTAAATGGTGTACGTCCCCACTATGCTGGGACAAAGTAGGCGAGAGAGAGCTAGTAGGACCCGAGCTGGTCCAACTCACCAATGAGGCTGTTTAGAAAATTCAAGGTAGGATGCGTATCGCTCAAAGTAGACAGAAAAGCTACGCCGATGTAAGACGTAGAAGCCTAGAGTTTGAGATAGGGGACCCAGTATTTCTCAAGGTGGCACCAATGAAAGGTGTGTTAAGATTCTGACGTAAGGGCAAGTTAAGTCCTAACTTCATTGTACCATTCGAGATCCTAGAGCGAGTTGGTCCAGTAGCGTATAAGTTAGCCCTACCTCCAGCCCACTCAGGAGTACACGATGTATTTCATGTGTCGATGCTGAGGAAGTACATTACGGATCCTATCCACGAAAGACTACAAACCACTTCAACTCAATGAAGATCTGAGCTACGAGGAAAAACTAGTAAAAATCTTAGCTAGAGAAGTAAAAACCTTACGCAACAGGAATATTGCATTCGTTAAGGTATTGTGGCGGAATCACCTCAGTGAGGAAGCCACGTGGGAGCGTGAGGACGAAATAAGAGAAAAATATCCCGAGCTAGTACAAGAGTTTGAGACTTTTGAGGACGAAAGTTCTTTTTAAGGGTAGATAATGTAACGACCCAAAAAAAAAAAAAAATAATAATAATAATAATAAGTAAATAATTAAATA